TCTTTAAGTTTATCTATAAAGAGTACAAATTTGACTGAACATAAAGGCATTCACACACTTATGTTTTAAGCTATATTCCAAAATCTAGACCTTTTCTTTGAAAAGTATGAAAGCATTTTTCCAGAGACATAAAATTTTAAATAGTGGTTAGATTTCCTAGCAAGCCTATAAAAAAATGTCAGTTAACCTACACATACCTAAAATATGGGAGCTATGGAGCAACTGCTCCTATCTCTCCCAACACTTTCCCCACCTAACACACACCTTTTTATTTTAAATCTCTGGAAATCATTCATGGTAAGAAGTAGGTGAACAACACTTCTCTTTTCAATAGTATTAATGTGGACTATATAGTATATTTGCAGGTCCTAGACTATTTGAAAAAAAAAAATCACACTAAAAAATTCTATCTGGATGAAACATGGCAGAGATAACAAGCTGAACAATAAAAAGCTTCTAAAAACTCAGAAGAATTTATGAATTCCAAATAACTTAAGTCTAGTCTTAAACCAACAATACTCTTCTAACCATTTCAGAGTTTCTTCTGAGACACCAGATTCAGCAAAGGCATTAACAGACACAGGTTAACACAATGACTTACAGTGTAGCCAGGTAAATTACTAACCAAACTTGGAATGGATGGAATCTGATCCTAACCTGCAGTCGAACAGAGGATACAGAAACAGTGTTTATACATAACTGTGTTCAAATACTTGTATTACAGAAAACAAATACTATCCAGAAATAAGATATCTTCTTTATGGTAGAGTTGAGGAACAAGGAAAACACTCCTTATACCACAGTAAACAATGCACTACCAGCCTGTCTATATACAGGATTTAAAAGCAGCAAAAATGGAAAGACAACGATAAAGCAAAGCAAAATGTTAAATGTAGAATCTAGGTGGTAGGTATATGAATTCATCATAAACTTAACTTTCCTGTATGGTGTCTGAAAATTTTCACAATAATTTAGCAATATATAGAGATTTGTTGTACTGTAGTTAACTGCAGTGTGTGGCTCTCTATGATCATTAAGTTTTCAAAGAAAGCTGAGAAAAAATGTGATCTGGTCACTCATGAATAGTATTAATCTCATTATTTCTGAGAGCATGTGTGTACTGATTTAATACTAAGATATTACAATGACAAGAAATTTTAACATTTTCCCATGCACTCATTTTTTTAAAAGCATAAAAACTGGAGATTAGGTACAAATAGGCTAGTAAATTTTCCCATATTCATAACTGGAATAAAGCCAATAACATGAATCTTTACTCTAAGTTTCTAATGTTTGGTTTCTACAACAATGATGTCTTCAGCAAACTACTCAAGACAGTAAGGTGCATGCAGTCCTAGCAAGTGAGGCCTAAAGGAAAAAAAAGGGGTCAAGGTCTCTCAGGCAGATCCTAACCACCAAGGACCTACTAGTATATATGCTTCATGAAATCCATGATTACTACTTATAGAAGTCATGCTTAATAACAATGGAAGCAGGTCCAATCTCATCATCTAATCCAGCAACTGAAGCATAACTAAGAAAGATTTCAGAAGCTGTAGGCTATATAAAAATTTTAAATTACAATGAAACCAGTGACTGTATACCTGCTCCAAAGTACAGCTGGACTGCTGTTGCTAATGCTTCCACAATCAAAGTGACTTTTTAAGCTCCAGAGACATTTGTGTTCTAAAACTGGTTTTGTCACACATTTTGTATTATTCAGAAATAAGGTCAATAATTTTTTTCTCATCTGCATAGTGAAGAAAAAGATGGAGACCTCAAAAGTACTGAAAGTATTTCCCAAATTATAAACATCTTATACTCCAAGGTTTATCACTCCTTTGAAAACATGTTTTTACTAATTAACCTACTTAATACCATAGTTTCTATGGAAAAAAATTGCATTCCAAGTTTCAACTCTAAAACTTTCTGCCCTGCAAAGAGGGATCTGCTTTTTTGATAACTGCTCTTAAAACCGAAACCTCACAGAATTTTCTCTTTCCAGAGAAACCACTATAATGTGAAGGTAGAGAAAAGGGCAGCTCTCTTTACATAGGGAGCTTTTTACATTGGTTCCATGAAAAAAGCTACAATTTAACACAATAATGATCATAGAAAAGAGACCTGGGGCTAATAAAACTTATAAATATTAATAGTTATAACAAAAATTTGCAGAAACATTTTGCTCCAGATAAAAAGATAAAGCTCAGTGCTATGTTCAACCAATTGTTTGGCACATGTAGACAAAATACTTTCAAACTGCTTCCTCATGATCAACTCAATTGAGAACAGAGGAAATAACTAAAGTGAAAAGGCAAGGGAGATTGTCCCCCCAAAAGTTGCCAAGTTCTTTAAAAAAAAAAAAAAAGTATAACATTATTATTTAACATCATATACCACCTCTTTAACAGTTGGTAAGATTTATAAAACAAGATGGGTGACAAACTTTAAAAACAAGTGTAACTTTGTGACAAGTCAGTTTTGGCAGCTAACTTGAGTTTCACACAATTTACGAACTACTGTAAAATTCACAGAAATAACTCACAGATAGATAAAGTAAGCTTTCCACTAAAAATGAATGAAACCAAACACAGAAAAAGGAGTTGGGGAAGGTGTGGCAGGCCAGAATAAATCTGATCTGTAGACAAAAAGCATGAGAAAAAAATTGAAGTATGGTTAAAGGTCCATGCCACTCTACCTAGTAAGATGGTAATCTGAGCAACTTCCATAGTAGTATATAACCTAGAGTGTTAGACTAAGTAGACCTGTTAAAGTATTGGTACTATTAGTAGCTTTGGAGGAAACTGCTTTAAAAATCCAAAGTAATGACAGGCAATAATATACCAACCCCCACTCTTAAATTGTTTTCAACAAGAATGATTGTAAGAAAGATATAAATGACAATCCCTACTACTGGAAATTGTTAGTAGATGAAAAGAAAAACAAAAGAGAGCAAGGTATTTCTTTTGTCTGAAACCTAATTTTCTCTTTAAATCACCTGAACTGGAAATTGTAGATTTATACCGACAAATTTCTATTTATAGTAAAATGTAGGGACAATTCATTTATCACCTGTATCTAACATTATGAGTATAAACAATCAAGAATATAATACACATATAGTTTAAAAACTATTAGTAAGCAGAATACCTAAATCAGGTAGGTCTTTAAGACTTAAGATGTTTATACTTTTAGACAGCGCATAAAAATCCAAATAGTACAGTTTTAGCAAAAGAATGCATCAGAAATGTATTTTAATACATGGAAAAATAGAAGCAAAACAGATTTTTATGGGAATGGAAAAGGGTCATGCTCTCAAAGCATATTCTCTAAACTGGAAAAAAACCTTCTAAATCTTTTTGAAAAAGGAATATTTTACCACTTGGTAAAGTAATCTAATGAGCCTTTTCATGTTACATTATTCAGTTTCAGTAGTGCTCTCAGACTGACGTCGCAGATTTTAATTTTCCTTCAAAATAAGGGGAAAAAACGACGAAAATCATCTCATCATTTAGTTGTTACCCAAAATGTTTGGTCAATCATGCACTTCCGCTGTTTTAATCTGAAAAGACAGAACTTTCTCCTTTCATGTTGTTCAACAAATACTAGTTTTCATTTTCTTGTTCCGATTTCATTTTTGTCTAATTTGCTTAAGTGTTTCAAAGCTAAAACTACCTAAGAATGCTGTATCTAGTTAATAAGGCTTCACAGATATTCTCAGGCTTACAACTAATCCACACTAATGTATTTCCTTCTGTGATTCCAAGCATAAAGGTTATTTTAAAAAAATTAATACTAGAAAAAAATAAAAACCTCTAAAATGGGATTAAAACATCTCACAGAAGAATGTCAAAGCAATTACATGTTTATCTAAACTGAATTCTCCATGAGTGAGCGAGCCGTCTGGTGTTCAGTAGATGCTGCAGTATAATTTTCTCTTCGTGAAAGCAGAATTTAAATCCAATATTTTAATATATGGGTAAGTCATCCCCGAAACATTCATGATCTACATAAATATTTAGCAACTCAAGTCTGTGCATTTCTAGTAATAAGTATCTTAAAGTTTTATTAGGTATAGTTTTAATAAAGTAAGATTAACTCAAGGTTGACAGGTCAACAAGACAGTTTAAAAGGCATTCTCAGGTGGAAAAAATTTAAGTCAGGTTGATCAAGTTGGGGAAAAGTTGATGCAATCTTACTTTTTCAACTCAGATCAGTAGTTTTTTATTTTAGCTAGTGTTAAGAGTAGGTTAATTTCCTAAAAATTCAGTCAGTCCCTTATATTATGTGCAACTTCGGAACCATAATCGAATCTAGGGCTCCCATCACTATAGTACTGTTCGTTCTCTTACCCACAAATCTTCCTGCAGAAACTGATAAAGGAACTAAAGCAACGCTCTCAGGTACTGGACTTAACACATTAAGGGTGACAGTTTGGGTAACAGAATAATGAGCCTGCCCTAAAAAGCAACCCAAAAGGATTGTGGAACAGTAAGGTGCTGAGTGCACTCAAGGGCCTTGACCAAAAAAAGAAAAAAAAAGCCACTTCTGAGAATACCTAATGGTGAATAAGTAAGAGTCGCTAGCTTTCGGATCACTTTCAGGGATATTATTTCCTTTCCTACAGCACCCCATTCTCCTTTTCCCTTCTTATACCAGAGCAAAAAAGCAAACAGCAAAAGCGTTCAAACTGCGAGGCTGATCAGGAAGGGTTCCAGCACATCGGGACTCACCTCCAGCGGCAACAGGACAGAGGCGGATCTGACCCTGACCCCGACCCCGACCCCATCCCCATCCCAATCCCAATCCCCATCCCGACCAGCAAAAACGCGCCGGCAGAAAAGAAAGCCCGCGAGCCGGACTTGCCGCCTCCAGGAGCAGGGGTCACTCGCGCCAGCCGCGGGCCGCTCGGGGCAAACTTCGTCAGCGGGCAGGGGGCGCGCGAAGCCCGGGCCCGAGCGCGGCGGGGGAGGGGCGGGGGAGGGGCGGCGGGCACTCACCACGGGTCGAACTCGTGGATGATGCTTTCGAAGCGAATGACGGCGAAGAGGCGCGAGCTGAAGCCAGCCAGCCAGGCCAGGAAGAGGATGGTGAAGGAAAGCAGCGACTGCCAGCCGGCCGGCTGCGACAGACCCCCGGACAGCCCTGCGGGGGCCGGCTTCGGCGGCGCCGCGCCGCCCGCCGCCTTGGACGCGCTCTGGGCCCCGGGCCCGTGGTGCCCGTGCCGGCTGTTCCCTAGGGCCATGAGGCCGCTCCACGCGGACGAGTTGAGGGACGACTTGTGCTTGCTCTCTGGGGCCGAGGGCTCCGCCATGTTGTGCCCCGGCGGCGGGTCTCGCGCTCCTCCGCGGCCGGCGCCGCCGCCTGGAGCGAGGGGTCCTGGGCGGGGACCCGGAGAAGAAGGGGGAGGAGGAGGAAGAAAAAAGAGGAGGGAAGAGCTCAGCGCGCTCCCGCCCTCAGCGCCGCGAGGCCAGGGAACTGGGGGTGGAGGCGGCGGGGAGTCTCCGCCTCAGCAGCGGCCACGACCACCGCTCTCAACCCAGATGGCCCCCGCGCTCCACCAGCCATCCGTGTCCACAGTGCAGCTGCGGCGGCGGCGGTGGCGGCGGCGGCGAAAGCCGATGGGACGAGGGCGCCAGAGAAGGAGCAGACGGAGGCGGCACCACAGCTCGGAGAAGCAATGACATTCCCCCTCACGCCCGCCCAGCCTAGACGAGCAAGGGGAGGAGCCCCCTGGAGTCCGGGCGGAGCTGAGGCACCCTCTAACTCCGCCCCTCGCCCAACAGGAACTGGCCCCTCCGCCTGTCACAAAGCGACAGGTCCGTTAGGGGGCGGGTCCAGAGTCGTCGCATTCACCAATAAGGGCCCGAGCTGAGGCGGGCCTTAGCTCAGCGTTTCTCTTCCTCCCCGTCTTGGCCTCGCGCCCATTCGCCCGGAGCAGCTGAGTTGCGCGGCTACGGTTTCATTGTCAGTTGAAAGACGCGGTTCCGCGTGCGTGTGCGACTCTGCTACCTTCTTGGACCTGAGCCTAGCCGAGGAGTCGGAAGGTGGTGGGACAAAAGGGAGCACCTGCGATCTTATTCGGCTTCAGAGACGCAAAGGGCGCTAGGCCGACGGAGCGCTAGTAGACTCTGCGGTCGTGACTTTTAACCCGCTCAGCGCCGAGCGCCTCACACGTGACTGGGCGCGCAGGCGCGCTACGAGAACGCTCAGCGCGTGGGTCCGGCTGCGGGGTTGGGCTCCCGGGCTGACCCGCACCCGGCGGAGGTAGCCCGCGGGTCCGTGGCGCCGCCGAGCCCTGCGCCCGAGCAGAAACTAGTTTACTGGCGCTGAAAACTTGAAGCAGACGAGCATGCCCCTAGCTCCAGAAAGACCTAGCGAAGCAGGGAGAATTCGACCTCTCTAGCCTTTTTTCAATTCTTGTACAGTATTTTCTGATTTCAAGAGTAAAGTCTCTTCACTGGCTGTGTGGGCAAATGCAAGAATTCATTGTTAAAGACTGCAAACATTCCTTCAAACATGTGGAACTGCTTGACTTGCCCTGGACTACGAACTATTTAATCCCCACCTTTGTAAATGTAATGGCTTGAAGACCCTGTGCACAAATTTTTGCACGTCTAAGACGTTGCTTTCCTTTCCCCACCCTCAGATAATCTTGCAAAGCAGATTAAACTCTGAACAAAATGAGTTTAAGTGGGGTCGTGAGATTTAAATTATTCTGATGTAAGCCCCAATGGAAGGTGCAAAGATTGATATCAACACTAAATAGATACTTGGTTAATTTTGCATGTAAGTTCACAACTGTCCATTTTATTAGGGAAGTAACATCTGAGTTTTAAAGTGTATTTGCGTACAGTTATAAAGGCACACAGTTTTCTTAAGACATGTAGATTTTTAAAATACAAATTGTGTTTACAAAATACTAGATAAATGAACAAGTGTAACTGGCTTGAGATTGCTCTTTAATAGACTCACTTACTCTTTTAATTTAAGTGATTAACTTTTCTCATTTCCTCACAAAAATAAATACAGACTCATTAAGAATGAAAAGGTTTCCAGAAAGACTCTTTCGCCAACAATTTAATAGCCAACATTTATTGAACATCTAAATTGTAATGAGAATTATATTAATCACCCCTTTTGTACGAAGGATGACATGCTCTTCAGAACCAAAACAGTACACAGTAAAATGACAGCATGTAAAGTATTTTTACCCTTGTTCTATGAACCAAACTCTATTAGCCCCAATAACAAAATTTATTTTGTATATTTATTTTAACTTATTTGGCTATTTCTATTATTTTACATGTAGATGTTCCCTGTTGAGTTCTATATTAACTCCTTTTGCTTCCATTTTTGGTTATTTAATGGCTAGAAGAAGCCTGGTCTAAAAAGTGATGAAGCTCAGTTCTACTCCCAAATTATTCCTTATTAGCCATGTAACGCTGAACAAGTCACCTGGCTGGGTTGCCCTTCCCACACTTCAATTGTTAATATTAAATAACATCTGAAAACACTATGGAAGATTGTTAAGGCACATGCAAATGCAGGGTGGTGATGAGAGTAAAAGCAATATGATAACACCTTTAATTCTTGATCTTCATTTATTCAGCAAATAATCATGGAATTCCTCCTTTACGCTAATCACTATGTGAGCGCTGGGAGACAATAGGGAAATTGAGAGACATGGCTCTGCCCTCACAGAGCTCCCCAGCCAGCATTTGGAAAGTGGACATCAACTACATGAGAGTGTTCAGTATCAAAAAGCACAATGACAAGCACTCTGGAAGAATGGTATGTGGGGGATTTGATCTGTGCAAGGATGGGAAACATTACCTTGAGGAAGCAACCCTGAGGGTGAGAATGAATGGACCAGGGGAAGAAGAATGGAAAGAGTCTCAGGCAGAAAAGCTTATGGAGAGTTCCTGCAGTGGGGCAAAGGAGGTAAGTACAAGGAATCCCGAGAGAGCCAGTCTAGTGGCAACGCAGTGGGATAAGGTGGGATAGGTCATGTTAAGAGATGCTTTTTGCTTCCTTTTGAGAATACTGGAAAGCCATAAAAGATTTTAAGCTTAGGTGTGGTGTGCCTGAGGTGGAGGAAGAGAATTGGTCAGATGTGTGTTTTTAAAAGATTACTGAAGGGGCCAGGGATTTAGTTCAGTGGTTCTGCTGCCTGCCTCGAAAGCTCAAGGACCTGAGTTCGATCCCTGGTACCAAAAAAAAAAGAAGATTACTGAAGCTACAATTTTAAAAGCACTGTGGAAAGAAGATCAGTAAGAGATCTCATTAGTCTACCTGAAACCTTCAGAGGTTACTTTTGTTAGAAATATATTACTGTCAGACCATGAAGGAACCCATAAAAATAAATGGCTCTGTTATAAATTTGCAATCTCCAGCCTATCAATGTAGAAAAATGGTTTCCAGCTCGTGCAGGAAGCTTCAGAGTGTTTGCCTCTCTGCGCATGATCCTGGTAAGTGCCTAGAATGTCCTTCTGAGTTCCAGTCTCTGGGGAGTCAGTCAAGCTCATGGTGCAGTATGTTGAGTGGGGCTGTTACATCAGAGATCCACCTGTACTTCAGGGCCTCTGAAGGTAGACAATATTTAAGCTGAAACTTGAGACCCAAGCAGAAGGTCAGCAGACATCAGAAGGAAGGATGGTAGATTCCAAGCAGGGACGGGGAGGATTTTCAAATATTTGTATTAATGAGAGTACACTGGGAGATGAGGCTGAAAAGAAGAACTAGATTTTCAAGGCCACGTCTACCTGGTTAAAGGAGTTTTAGATGTTAATCGGTAAGCAACTGTGAGCTGCTGAAGCATTTTGAACAATACTTGGTTGATGGAAGAAAAAATTCTGATGGCAGTGTGGATATACTGGAAAGGATGAGAGTAGTATCAGGGAGATGATAAGGAGGCATTTGTGGAAGTTTGGGCAGGAGAATGAGATGAGGCCCAGAAAGGAGGAAACTGATAGGAGAGGTATCAAAAAAGTAGAAATTCAGAAATGCTGTGGGAGCCACAACCTCTCCTCACAGGGTTGGCCTTTAGGTATGCTAAAGGGAGACAAATGCCTCTTCCTATTTGGGGTCTTAGAAGTCTGTGCTTGGCCTATTGGCTTCTAGTGCCTTCCTTAGAGCTGGCTCCTGAGAAGCCTGAGGCCAACCGTGGTTCTCTCTGGGTACTGGAATCCAAAGGCCCTGGCTGTTGTTTTCCTTGATCAATTTTTGTGTTTTCTAAGTTATCTGTTTTGAAAATGTATTATTTTTCAAATTGGAAAAATCACTACTCTATTTTAAAGAAGAAAAAAGTTTTCAGACACCAATGGTAAGAGCTAGATAAAGGAAGTACAATGAACCCTCAAATTACCACTGGCCTGACATACAAACGACTTGGATTAATTAGGTTAATGGAAGATAAATCTGCCTCTTATTATCCAATATATTCTTTTTTTCTTTTTGGTACCGGGGATTGAACTTGGGACCTTGTGCTTGCAAAGCAAGCAGCAGAACCACTGAGCTAAATCCCCAGCCCAACATCCATATCTCAGCTGTATTGACTTAACAACAATTTGAGTTTTAACCAGCCTTTGGGAAACAATCAAGTTTGTAAATTAAGGATCCACTGTAGGTGTTAAGATTTTTTTTTTTATTAAATTCTTTTATTGGTACATTTTAGGTGTACAACACATTTACATTTCTCATTGGGAATTGTACCTTTACATGATGCATCTTGGTTCTTATTTTTTCCCCATTCCTAGCCCTGCCTTCACCCCCTCCACCCTTCCCTATTTAGAAAGACTTTATTTCCATTTTTTCCATTTCTCATCATTTTTCCTTTCCCTTCTTTCCTTTCCCCTGCCCCTCCCACTACCCCTACCCCTAATGACATTCATCATTGGAAATTTGCACCTTTACATAATCTCTCTTGGTTCTTATTTTTCACCCTTGCCCAGCCCTCCCTTCAACCCCTCCATCCCTCCCTATTTACAAAGATTTTGTTTCCATTTTTCCATTTTCTCATATTAATTCCATTCCTTTCTTTCCTTTCCCCTACCCCTCTCATTTCCCCTTCCCCTTTGCCCCTTTTCTTCCTATTTCACATTACCTATTATACCTTTTAGTCCTTATTTACACTTTCAGTTTCTCACACTAGAGAAACTATTCGGTATTTGCATACGTGTGTCCTGTTTATTTCACTTAAGAGTATCGCCTCAATGTGCATCCATTTAGCTATAAATGTCTCTGATATCATCCTCTTTGCTGGCTTTTCTCTCTGGTTGCTTTATCTTGGGCTTCCTACAGGCACCTATTCTAGCTTATTAATTTCAGAGTTCCTTAGGGTTCTTTTCTCAGTCTTCCTCTCACTTTTTCCTAACTTCGATTCCAGCAAAATTTCATCCAGGGCCATGGAGTTCCAAAGAAAAATTCTTCCTCCTGAGAAGCAGATCTCCTTTAAGTCCCTGTGAGTCAACTCCTCTTGGATGTGCTAAAGTGTTTAAAACATGACATGTCCAAGTCTGATCTGCTGCTCAGGAGGAAGAATTTTTCTTTGGGACTCCATGGCCCTGGATGAAATTTTGCTGGAATCGAAGTTAGCAAAAAGCGAGAGGAAGATTGAGAAAAGAACCCTAAGGAACTCTGAAATTAATAAGCTAGAATAGGTGCCTGTAGGAAGCCCAAGATAAAGCAACCAGAGAGAAAAACCAGCAAAGCGAGTGATATCTCAAAGAAAGAAAAAATAAAACAAGGTCAGCAGCAACACAGGGTTCAGAGATACAGAGTGTCACACCCCTGAAAAATGTATCTTTCTTTCAGCAACCAGGAGTTCACTGGTTTCTTTAACAGGTAAGTTTTGGTGGAGTTGTTGGGCCAGAACCAGATGAGAGTGGGTGAGGAGGGATGAGGAGCAAAGGATGTGGAGAAGGAAGTATAGAATACTCATTTTAGAAGTCTGGCTTTGAAATCACAGTGGACCAAGTCAGACCAAGAAAAGACTACATTACTAATCTATAGTTCCTGGCACTTCCCACTCTGACCAAG